TTTTACAGGCCACAATGACTCCCGAGTGTGCCTTTAACCCTTTCATTGCTTGAATTAATGGGTAAACTGAAGACTCACAAGTCACATAATCCTTTCAGACTCTCAGTTTCAGCTTCCCAGACGAACGAGTCCTTTAAATGTGCACATTTCGTTTTGCTCGGCATGCAGGGATTAGCTCAGGGTGCAAATCAATCAAAATGAATGAGAAACAACACAGTGTCTTATCAAAGTTGATACTTTTATAATGCATAGCTATACTAGATATCATCGGTTCTCTACAACACAGATTATATACAAAATAAATAATGAATTAAAAAAAAAAACGGTTATCACAGCCTATCGACTACCAAGCATCAGCACCTATGTCGTCTCAGCAAGGAACAAGATGTGACAATTGTCCCGGTGTCCTTTTTTAAAATCAGAAGTTGTTCCTTTCACACACTAGTCAGGAAAATGTACAGGAAAAATATAAGCTGTGTTTTCAAAAAAATAAATAAATACATAATGAACAGGTAAAATAAACCATCTGCTGTATAATACTTACATTTGATTAAATCAGTTCTAAGTGGCCGTCATGTGCTTTTATTGTCCCTTTATTCACCAAAGATACTTTAAAGTGTATGGCAGATTTGGATTCACTGCAATAAATGGCAAACTGGTTTTCCATCCACATTTATTTCAGTGTAGATCTTATGCCCTAAATAAACAATTTGGTTGCTTTTTTTTGTTTTTGTAAAGTATGTAAAGAGAAAACTACCGCACATGCAAAGCTGCCATTTTTACAGTGATGCTGAGCGTTTCTGAGGTCGTACAGAAAAATGATTGAATGATCTTAAGGTTTTGTTCATGAGAAAAGGACTATACAGACAGATAAAGTGGCTGCCACACAAACAATAGCAAACAGCATTAAGAGCACAAAGATGTGACTGCGCTGGCATAGAGGCTGGTGTCCGGGCTGCTCCTCGTCCACGGTGAGCAGACCCAGGGAGGCGCTGTCGGTGCTGCTCAGCGGGTCTGCGTACTGTGGCCCATGGGGCTCCACCATCCAGCGCAACACGTTGACTTTCATCTCCATGTCATCGATCATGTGGTCAATTTGGCTGATCTCCTGCCCCAGGGTGCTCTGTTCCTGGCTCTCCATGCCAGCGGGGACGGCCGGAGGCTCAGCCTGGTTCAGGTCCGGCAAACTGAGGGCGCGAGCTGCCACCTCACTGCCTCCTCCTGCATCAGCACAAATGCAATTAGAAATTTACTGACTTTACTGTTGCAAAAATATGTTCATAATCAGTGGCAAACAGCTTGAAATATTGCAACAACATGATACTGTTTAGAAAATATGTGTTTATGAAGACAATATAGGCAAAAAGAGAAACAAAAGACCAAAAATCAGCGCGAAAATACCCCAAAAAATCCCTGAATGAAGTTCATCCTGAGGGGATTTCGACAAAATTTTTAAATCTTGAAATGATTAATTAAAAAAAAAAAAAAAGTTAGAACCTCATGGCAGCACTACAGTAAGAGTCATTTAACTATCAAAGACAGTCGGGTTCATCATCTGGGAACCACGAATATCTGTTCATGTGGATTCTCATCTAAGAGCTGTTGAGCTATTGGATCAGTGTGATGGACCTACTGACGAACACCACAACAGCTGCAAGAATTCATCAAATAATGAATTCATTTAACAACTAATAAATGAATCTCCAACTATTTTGACAAATAATTAACTGGTTTATGTCATTTTTTGAAGAAAAAAAGTTGTAATTATCCAACTCTAGTTGTGTAAAATAAAACATGTTCTGCTTTCTTTCCTCCTCGATGACAACAAACTAAATATATCTTCTGGTTATGAATAAAATCTGATATTTGACGACGCCACCTCAGGCTTTGACAGTCTTCACAATGTTCTAACATTTTATAGATTAATCACAGTAAAAAATATCCGCTGCAGCCACGTCGCCACCATGAATAAAAACCATGGCTAAATGTTAAGCACCAAGTCTAACTGTTGCAGCGTTACGTCTCTCTGAGATGCTTTTTAAGCCAGCAAGGTGATTGTGAAGCTGCAGGACTACAGTTACAGCACAGTTGGAAAATCATAGGAGGGAAAGGAAAGTACTTGTTTCATGACAGAAGAAAAACTAAACTAAAAGCTCCCAAATGGCACCGATCACTCACAATATATTACACTGGTCTACACCCGTTTTGGTGTCAAAGTTTTTTGAGCTGATTTTGGACAATTGCAAAGTGCTGAATCCAAATATGACATTGGTTTTGCTCAATGAGGTCCAAATGTTGATTTGATGAAACATGCAATTTACTTGTATTTACCTTTACAAATGTTTACGCTCATCACCTTTTGGATCATTTGGTTTATGAAAAGGATTAGAAAATGAAAACTTTCCTCTAAAATCCGATTTCATATGAGAAATGCTAAAATCAATCAATCGCTCATGTCAAAATATTTAATCAATTTAGTGGTAAAATCGATTTTTTACAGTCGAGTTGGCATAAAAACCTGACCTGATACAGAAAAGCAGATGTCATGTTTGGATTCAGCGTTGCAAAAATGTCCTAAATCAGTTAAAAAAAACAATGCTAGACACCTTCAGAAAAGTATTTTTTTGTAACCCAGTGTTATTCGTGCAAAATGTCATATTTAATAATGAGTATTTTGATTATTGCAACCAGAGATTGCAGAAGAAACGTATGATCTTATGATATGATCGTATGATATTAGTGTTTGAGCAAAGCTGCCTGTATGAGAGTTTTAACTTATACATATATAACAAATATCTAAGAAAGTGCTGATTTTAAGGCTAATCATTCCAAATTAGCTTTAATAAACGAATTGTTGATACATCAATTTTAAATTACTGTAATTTTAAAAACTGTAATGACAGAAGCTTAATAAGTAAAGAAGCATCATCTAGTTCCTCATAAGCTTAGTTGTTCATGAACATACTTCATGGAGGCGATCATTCATGCCTCCGCTTGATCATTTCAGTGATTTAAGAAAATACTTGTCACACTCAGATAATCTGTAAAGCCTATGAATTACTGAGATTATTTTGCAAATTATAAACTAACACTTATTTTATTACCTCTGAAGCTTTTATTCAGGTAAAACCTTGGTTTATATTATTTACCTGGCTCCCCTCAGCTCATCTACTTCCTGAAACAGAATCTGCACACACAGTAAGATGTGTTTCATTTACCTTGTATTCCAGTTTGGACCAGGGTGCCGGTCTCTGCCAGGGAGAAAATGTCCCCCATCTTGAAAACCTTGCACATGTCAACATGGAGGAGCTCTAGACTGGAGGAGAAGGCCACCCAGAGGAGCTCCATCTCCTTCCGCTGGTCCTCGGGCAGGCTCTTGTCCCGGAGGTGTGAGGTCAGGTGCTGACAGGTGGAGACGGCCAACTTTTGGGCCTTTTCTCGTGTTTGTCGCAGCTCATCCCGCAGCTGCAGGCTGTCGGTGCAGCTGCCAACACACGAGGCCAAATGCCGGTAACATGCCACCACCTGCGGAATGGGAAGAGAAGCAACGAGGATTTCATTTAGCTAGTTATAGGAAAACGTAGACTCTGGAGGCATCTGGGTTCTGTAGCTCAAAGTTTGCAGGAGGGACGCTCTCTTTGTTTAGTGTAGGTATGAACAAGCCCTCACTGTCCACGTGACCTGATCAGGTATGCACTAAACCACTAATCTTAATCAGGGACTGTGCATCTTTTTGCTTTCTGAGCATTACTGAACTCATCACCAACACACATCCAAATACATGTATTTAGTGCACCGTAACAGAAATAAATTAATTGTCCAAATTGCTTTTGAGCTGTTGAGAAAAAATGATGATCAGCATCATCATCATCTTCTGCTCCACCTTAAAGTGGGAAATATGGTAAATGGTCCAGTTCTGGCTTTCTGATCAATATGATATGGATACACGTTGTTTCATCGATAGCCTTAGCTTCACCTTGGAGGATTAGCAGGTGGGGTTTCATTCATTAAAAACATTATAAATAATCTTATTATCATTGATCTATTTCTATTTCTAGATAAGCCAAAGCAACCTTGTGCACACAGAGTACAAGTGACCCATTTTCACGGTGTGGACAGAGGAGAGGAAGGAACACAAAAGTAACTGCAGCTATGCTATATTAGTTTATGTTATATTCTATGTGTTCATTCACCTTGATTGAGTTTTATGAAATTTGTGACAAAAACATTAAAATACTATATAAAAATATGAAATCCTATTTGGTTCTGTTCCACTTGTTTAGGCTCACATTTGTTAATTTAATCATTTAATACTTATGTTTCTCCTGTGTTTTCTATGTGACCCTGCTGCTATGATACTCATTTTTTGTATTTTTATAATATATGACACAATAATTATGTATTTGTGGCTGCGGCCAACAATGCAACCCATGAGCTGTTTGTAGCGACAAAAATATACATTTTAGTTGTACTAGTAGAAAAAAGTAGATAGCATGAATCCACTACATGTTGTTTACAGACAAAATAGTATAGCACAACTAAATCGGCGCTGCTAACTGGGGAAAAATGCTCGGCATGGTCATGGCATTATCTAACACAGAACCGTCCTAAAGATGCAGTGGAGCAGGAAATTCTTTTCAATGAGAGTGCTTTTTTAGCCACAGGGGGGAAAAAAGATGTTTCAGTGATCCGTGTATGTTCCGTCTGTAAAATATTAACACGGGGAGGACGGTATCATAGCTAAAACAATACATTTTCCATTTTTTATAAATCTTTTCACTCTCACGAAGCTGCTGTTTTGTTGTTCTAAATGCCACAAATATTCACATAATAAAATCAGTAATTGCAGTTTATGAAATGCATCAATTTCATACGTGTTTTTGGACTTTAAAAAAATTCTAAAATGTGTTTAAATGCTCACACCACCAAAAAACAAAACAGCAGAATTGTGTTGCAGCGTTTGTTATTTCCTAAACAGTCGCAGCATGAATAAAAACTGAACGCTCAGAGCAGCTTACCTTTATCAAAGAATCCACCAGAGCCTGTCCATCAGCCAAAGCCTTGTCTTTGCCAACTGTGCTGTCATCGCCCACTTTGTTATTTACAAGTGGCATGAGGACGACTTGTCCAGAGTCTCAGACTCTGCCACAGCAGGCGAGATTTTGGCCCAGCTGCCCTTCACTTCTCTGGCTGCCCCTGCTCCTCTTCTTTCCCTGGAAGATGCTTCATTCAGCGGCTGAGAGTCGAGACAGACTCAGTCCCAAGGCAGCATGATGCGTTGCAATATTCCACTCCTGCAACTAAATTGTAATTGCAGGTGCCAAACATGCTGTGAAGGCTGGAAATTTTTTTTGTTTTTTGACAAAGAGCCAGTAGTCAGAAAGTGAAAGTAAAGAGGAAAAAAAGTCTAATAAAGTGATGCAACTCCTAAGCAAGGTGCTAATCCTGTGATTGACCCCTTTGCACTGACGCAGGCTTAGACGAACAGCTAATCTCATTAACCATCACTGAGACCAGAGAGATAGGAGAGCAGCTGGCTGTCTACCACAATGGCCCTTTCACTGGCTGAGGAGGATGGGCTCTGTTACCTCAAACACACCACACTGGCTACACCTCATTCACTCAACTGTAAAGGTCAATATGCGTAACAATAGAAGCTTCATAAAAACATTGGGGGGCATTTATCTCATATATTGCACTGATTGAGAATTAAGAGATTTTACAAACAGAGGGAAGATCCTCCAGCAATCAAATCAGACAGTAAATAGTGATGCACTTTAGAGTGCTGACAGTTGTATATAGGTTGTTTGTTCTATCAGGGTTCTTGGTGATTCGTTTTCCCTTCAGGCTGTAGGAAATGGATGGCCTTGTTTGACCAGGATGTTGTATTGAAATAATGCTCGAATTCATGCTTGGAAGAAGCACGCAACGTTTCTATAGCCATGTATGTAGGCATGTATGAGAAGGTTTCCATGTGGAAAAAGCACAGCACAAAAGACAAGCCATGTATGTGGAGGCAGTGACCATGAACTGACATCACGCGAGTGGTGCTTAGAAGGGGAGGAATGCAAAACCTGAAGGAAAACACATCGTAAGTGATATGAATAGAAATTCATTGTTAGAAATTATTAGTTTTATTAAAAACAAGAAACGTCACAAATATTTAAAAATAGAAAAAGCAACAAACTACATGTAAAAAGTAAACAGATATAAGAGTCATCACTGTTGGGGATGTGAACCCAGGCATCCCCAAAAGTTTGTAAAAACCAAACTAAACTCTCCTTAACTGCTGATCTGAGTGCAGCTGCTGTGCAGATGCTGTGCGTCTCAGTGTTTCACAGTCTTAGTTGTTTTCCTGAGGGTTCGGCCCGTTGAAGTCTTCCGTGGTGACGTGACCGCCTCCCTGATGTTGGCGAGGAGGCCTCGCTTGGTCTTGGGCTGCACAGGAGACTTCTGGGAGAGCTTTACAAGCTCTGCCTTGAGTGAGGCGATCTCCCGGTCCTTCTCAGCATTTTGCTGTAGGAGGTCCTGCATGGATTTTGCCTTTAAAAACAAACAAACAAAAACATTCACACCACAGAGTAACTTCCATCCTCATGAATTCATGATTCACCCTTCAGATCTTAAATGTTGTTATATAAGCCTTTGCACAAGTTGTCATTTTGAACTTTTAAACAAATTTGCAACCAAACCTCAGTCGTACTTCCTACACTTCCGTCAGTGATCTCACCTGATCATCAGCCTTCTGCTGCAGAACCTCCAGATCAGCAGATTTCTCCAGGAAGCCGTCTCTGACCTTCTGCAGGGTTTCACTGAGGTCCATCAGTCTTTTCTCTAGTGACAGAATTAACTGAAGACCAAACATTAACGCTGACGTGACTACATAACCAGAACGAGACACTATTCTACTGGGACATTATGCCCTCGTTACCTGCTGTTTGTCCTCACACATCCTCTCTAGGGCACATTTTTCTCTGTGAAGACGTTGGTACCGATCGTCTCCTGTGTGGATAAAACGTGGTGACTGTCACGTTGTTGTCATTTCAATAGACACTGTTAGGAGCTTCATTCAGTGTGCTCACAGTGACGTGAAACAGAACATGCATAGCGTCACAGTAACAGAAAATATGTACAGAAAGGAAATATGCACGTTCAAATTTGAAAAAGTTTTCTATATTTCAGTCAGGAGACGTTTCCTTGCTGACCTGTCGCATATTCTTCTGTCGCTTTATATGGTTGAGTTTGGCTCCACTGGTCCACTGTTGGAACTGCAGAACATCCTCCTCTGGCACTGGATGCTAAAGTCTCCAACTCGGACACTTTACGTCTCAGAGCCTACGCAAAATGAAGTCAGAGCAGATTTTTCCTTTTTTCCCCCATTATCGATTCAAAGATTTAAGAATTTTGACAACTTCGACTGTCAGCATAGCGCGGGAGATCATCAGATGTCTAAAGTCGGTCTGCTGGTCTCATACAATTTCATTACTTTAAAAACTTCAAAGGTCAGTTCTGGGACCTTCAGAAAAACAGTAGGGCCTTCATTTAGCAGAACGAGCCCATACTATGCACATTTACAGATTTATAATTTTATCTTGGCGGTTTTAAAGAATATTTTTTCATGCTTTAATGTAGAAGACAACACATTATTTATGTCATACTGTACATTACTGCAGCACCTTTCCTCTTCCCTCTATCTGAAGCTACCATCTCTTTAAGACCCGCCTCTTGACAGTCTGCTCTGATTGGTCAGCTGGTTTGATGTAAGTGAGGCAGTGTTGGTTATTGGCATAACCCCAGATCTATTATTACGGGGACGGAGCCCACTTCTAGGAAAAGTGGGTCTAATGAAGAAATAATGGAGGGCAGTGAGGCGGCTGCTCAGTCTTTAAGGGCAGGTCCAACTAGCTGCAAATAGTTAAGTCACCAAAGAACAAAAACTTTGGGCTTCATAAGTTTATAGACCTTTAACATGCAAAAGAAGTTGTAACGCACAGGAAAGGAGGGAAAAAAGCACAAGATGGGCTCTTTAAAACTATTTTTTCTGACCTGTGCACAGTCAATTAACAAACATACCTCTACTTTTTCTTGTTCAGCGATGAACTCATCGAGCGGCACGTAGTCGTCTTCCAGGTTGTTCATGGCGCTCTGGTAAGCGTGCTCCTTGATGGCGTCTTTGTACATCTCAAAGGTGTTCTCCAGTTTCTCCTGGTAGCTCTCCTTCAGCTCCTCTATCTCTCGACTTAATGATAAAAGAAAAGGTTCTTTACAAGGTTTTCATGGAGACATTGCAGCTGAGAACAACATTGACCATGAAGGCATACAGTGTGAACGATGTGCAAAATGAAACTATGCATACGTGCGGAGCTCTTCACTCTCCATGAGCTGCTGTAACATGGCGTCGCCCATTTCCTTGCGAATTTCCATTTCCTGTACCAGGTTTTTTCTTCGCTCAGCCAGAAGTTTTGTTCGCAGATTCTCGATCATATTAACGAGCTCCTGGGACCGTTAACGAATACAGAGCAAGACTGTTAGAAATGTAGTGTCGTGCATAAACTACTCCCTGACTGATGTACTTTTGAAGCAACAAAATCACAACTACGAAATTTTAATGAGATCAGGTATGCAGCAGCTCTGTCTGGTAGAATAGATGCTTTCAGCTAAATGCTATGTTTGCATAGCTGGCAGTTTGGGGATGATCTCGTCTTTCGAAAAGCCTCAGCGGTACAAACACAACCGGGGAATGTCGGATGTGCTTCATCTGATGCATTTGCAAGACAAAAAAAACGTGACATGAAACAGTATTTGTACGTTCTGGGGCAGCAAAGACGTATCGGCCTCGTCTTCGTCGTCCAGCAGCTCCTCTTCGGACAGGAAGCTCTCCAGGGCCTCGCTGTCGATCGCCCCATTCCTCACCAGAGGTTTTCCATCTCGACCAACCACACAAGCGGAGAGAGATTCCAGAGGCTTGTCTGGGATCACCTGCATCACCTACACAAAGCACGGGCGAGATTAGCGCCTCAGCTCAACCAGATTCTTTCTGATTAACTTCACCGCGTTAAGCACTCAGGCCGACCTGTTTGGCAACGGCGGAGAATTTCATAACGTGGAGAGTCTCGTCGTAGGTGGAAGCGCACTGGTTGATGTTGACGATCATCGAGGCTCTTCCTTTTCCACAGAAAAAGGCCTGGAAGAGCTTTGTGAGCTTGCTCTCTCGGAAAGGAATGTAGCTGCTCTTCATTCTTACGGATAACGCACACAAAAGCACACAGATACGTCACACTCGGAGTCATGTTTGCCTCGCCTGAATGTACAATCGTTCAGGCGTTAAAATCATTAACAGATTAAGGCTAAACTTTGAGCAGCTGGTGACGAAGCCACGGCTCACGGTACCTGTCGGTCTGATTGTTTCGTAGGGCGGTGATGCACTTCCCCAGAATAAGCAGGGAGTTATTAATGTTTCCTGCCTCCTTCAGCCGCTCTCCGAACGTCTTGGTTTTGTTGCATCTCTCTGAGCCAGCCAGGTCGCACAGAGAAAACCTGAGAAACAAAGAAATGAATAGCAACTTCTTTCTGTATTACCACCACGCTTATGATGCTGGACCTTTTCGAGTAGTTTCAGCTGCCAGATCGGTCATAAAGAACCTCAAATCTGGTCCAGTAAGTCATGAGCAGTGAATGAATTCCTCATTCAAGTCATTTCTGGTGTTTATTCAGTTTCAGATAAGTTATTTTATGATGCACTTCCTACTGTTTGAATTATATGCTCTTTTTTTTATTTGCATTTTGTTTTTAAAGCATGTAATTAAAGAGTCACATTTTGTAAACGAAAGATGCATTATTGATCTTTATCACTATGACTACGCTGTGCTGACACTATTATTGGCACCACTGAGGCAACCACATGTTACATTATATATATTATAATTGTTAAGAACAAACATATGCATCAGGTCTTTGATAATTGTAAGCATTTGTCAGAACAAGAAGAAGAAATGGGCATATAAAGACATAAAAACTGGAGGGGTAGATGATTCTGTTATTCACAAACAGCAATAAGGGACTTCAATTTGAAGATATGACCAAGCTGCAAGGGATGACCATTACTTGATTGCATTTGTAATTTTACTCTGTCATTATTACTTCAGTGTTGATATATTTTAGCACAAATCTGGGGAGACAAATACTAACTTAACCCTTACAGAACTGAGATGTTGGGCTACAATATGATTGTCTCAAGGAGGCCTTTTAGCAATGACAACATTCATCACATCAAACAAAAAAAAAGACCAACAATGAACAGACACTAACGTCCATCCATCATCTCTACACCTTAATCCTCACTAGGGTCATGGGGGGCTGGAGTCTATCCCAGCTGACTCAGGGTGAAGGCAGGTTCACCTGGACAGGTAACCAGTCTATCACAGGGCTACACTTAGAGACAGACAACCAAGCACACTCACATTCACACTTACAGACAATTTACAATCACCAATTAACCTCAGCATGTTTCTGGACTATGGGAGGAAGACGGAGAACCCGGAGAGAACCCACGCTGCACGGGCAGAACATGGAGACTCCACGCAGAAAGATCCCGGGTGTCCTCACTGGGACGCGAACCGGCGATCTTCTAGCTGCGAGGCAACGATGCTAACCACTGATCCACCTTACAGCCCCAGATGCTAACAGTGTCATTAAAATTTGCACATCAGATGCTTGTGCTGTTTCAGCTGGACCAAACATTTTAGAGAAAATACTCAGCAAGGTCTGCATTCATAAATGTAAGTTGCACTTTACCACTTAAACATCGAGTTAAATTCCCCGCAAGTGAAACAGTCTGACTGCAAAATGCGATAAGTTTACTAAACTATTCAACAAATGTGGCGCCACAGAAAAAAAGTGTCACCAAAAAAAGATCCAAAAGCACGTGAATGTTCATGATTGTTCACAAATACTCACTCTGAGACTCTGAGAACTCTGAGAGCTGAATCTCCATCGATCTTCAGTAACTTCATGGTGAATATGCTGTGGCTGTAAGGAAACACAGCCGGGATGAGTTTTGACAACAGGAGATAACGGTGAGTGAAGAAAAGCTTAATCCTAACAGCTTGCCTTCTGCTAGAAGACTGGTTCATCTTAGTGGCTGCAGCACTTCTGTTTTTATTCCCAAACTGGAGCAGCTTGAAGGCTTCACTCAGGTTCTGGATGTTGATCCACCTGAGATCTGAAATGTAAATAAAACACACGCTGGTGTCTGATTCAGTTATAAGTCTGTAGTGGCATCTACACTACTGACAAATGTTAAGTGGCTTTCACACCTTTAACGTAAGCATTTCCAGCTCCGTCATCACAGACACGGAGAGAGGCCCGCTTTTTAGACTTGGAGAACAGAGGAGGTTGAAGCAGATCAAATACACACTCGTTGTAGATTTCAAAGAACGCCACCCACAAGGCAAACTGGCTGCTGCTTGCTTCTGCTGGGTTACTGGCCGACACTGAGGTGGAACAAAGAGTGTCATGCACAGTGACGTGACTTAAACTACTGCAGTGGTCCTTAAAGCTCACCAGATAGAGCTCCTATTAGAAAACATGTGACATACTAATGCTCAGTGTACTGAATTAGTGAATATTACCTGTTTGACTGTAGGCCATAGAAGACGACAAACTTGCGACAGAAGAAGCCGGAGACTCCGATCCACTGCTGGCTCTGACAGGATCACACTCCTAGACCGAAGCAAAGACACATGCATGTTTCAGTTGTGGTGCTTGGTTCCAGTTGTTTTCTGTCTTAAGCAGCACACTGAGGCAGAACCGAGTCCTCACTTCTTTGATTGAAGCAAAAACGGCAGCTTTAGCACTTCTCTCCTGCCTGACTCGCTCAGGATCCAGATACTGAGCACCGTTCCTGAGGTAGGGCTTCACGTCCATCCCATCGTACTGACGAGCCCCGATGTGGTGGAAGGTGGCGTCCAGCACTCGAGGTAGTATTCCTGGCTCTTTTGGAGTTCCTAATAGGATTTCACAACAGAAGTCCAAGAACATTTCTTTGATTTTTGCCTGTGAACAGTAAAAGACCAACCTTTTCCCAGTTAGCTGGGATTACACACATTTAAAGGGTTCATCACCTTGGAGGAGGAGGAGGAGAGGAGGGCGTCAGTGGATTTTTATCTAAATAGTTAAGCTGTTTTATAACAAAAAGGGTTTTTTTCCTGCTCATAAAAATAAATATTTTCAAGTGAAAGTTTATTTTCATTCTTACAAAGAATGTGGTTTATCCTGAGTTACTAAGTTTGACACGTCAAAAATGAGAAGTGGCACATAAGTAAATGTCAAACAACAAACAAACAAACAAACAAACACAAACAACAACTTTGTAAAGAATAAACCAGTGATTTGGGTTTTATGCACTCTCTGAAACACCTCGGAAGATGTCAACTAATATAGGAGGGGGCTTGTTTAAAAGCTATTTAGATGCCACGTCATCTAAAAAATATACACAGTGTATATATAATTGTGCACACACATATAACATACGTTTATATACACACCACACATTCTAACACACAAAAGCGTACAAACAATGAAAACCAGACATAGAACTCCTCTTTGATTTGAAGCTCAGTAGGATGTTTCTGTGCTGCCATCCTTACCTTGGATAGTGAATGTTTTCCCAGCGTTGGTCACACCGTAGCTGAATATCAACGCATTCTTCCCATCCAAGAAATCAGACATTTGGCTTTTGACTGTGTCCTCGAACAGCTCGGCCTGCGTCGTCTCTGGTCCAAAAACCTGAAAACCAGCAGAAAGGTGAGACAGAAGCTGAGTGTTGATGTGTGCGCTGGACAAAAATGGCACAAAATTCATTTTGGACGTTGCCGACCTTTGAGAAGGAGAACTTGTGGAGGGATGTGCCGATTCCTTTCTCGCTGCTCTTCATGGTCGCTGAACCTTTTGGTGCATTCAGTGTCACTGTCTGTCTGTTTTCAATCACAACACAATCCTGAAGAGAGAAAAGAAACAAGAGAAATACCGACAGAGCAGCCTGAACGAAAAGAAAGAAGCACAATCTAGATGACATCACTGAGTGAAGGGATGTCGCTGTAGTGCAAAAAACTATTTGAGTTGAACAAAAGGGAGCGGGTTAGGGATTTAGATGTGTGTAGATAATTTATCCAATAGTCGTGAATCTTTAGAATTATTGGTAATTCTCCAAAGAGCTTTTCATTACTCATCATTCTACAGCAGCTTTCACCTTCATCTTGCATCATAACAGACCACAACAAAGTCAAATGTGCCATAAAGTTATCCGACAATAAACGTTTATAAGGAAAGCTGGGACACTTTAAAAACCATCTCCCAGCACATCCAGCAAAACTAGCTTCATTTTTATGAGCAGTAAGAAAAGTGCTGTCAAACATATTAAACTGCATCATTAACTCTGGTTCGTATTTGTTCATTTTTAAAGACTCTTGCCAATGAAAACCAAGTTATTTTGATATTGTAGAAGATGCATCATGAGGACAAAAGGCTGTCAGCACCATCTCTACCTGGAAACTGCAGTGTACCGATAAAACATGGGTTCAGACTTTTGGAATCCTCTGAACCGATCCTGTCAACGAGTGTGTCAGACCTTCTGTATCACTAATCTTGAATGAGTCCAGGATGAGCTTCAAGTTCAAACATGTATGTTGCAGTAGTTTGAGCAGAGTCACAGGTGAGCTGGTGTGCTCGAGCGAATAGGAAGGGGCGGGGGGAAAAACATGAACAGACTTCATTGATCAGCAGATTGTCGAGGAAGCAACAGTGTTGAGTTAAAGCTGACCTATTGTAAGGCAGGAAGGGATTGTTTTGATGGAAAACACTTCTGAATATGTAACTTTGACAAATAGAGGCGAGTTTTTATGGGTTTAATCAAAGACTGGAGAGGAATTTTAAATACTTTTCTCACAATATGCACAGAAAAAATTATCTAAAATGACATAATTGTTTCTGAAGTGGGAGAAAAATATTGCAGTGTTCAAGTCCTTGAATGGTTCCTGCCTGAGGGAAGGAATATTTCTACATAATTCTCGTTATGCTTGAGATACTGGGTGAAAGCAGATTTTATTTTTTCGAAGCCAGTTCCAGGCTCCAGAAAATAACAAACCTGTAGAGTATCTTGCTTTGAAATAAAAGATCATGCCTCTCTCTTCATATATAAAACATGAAAAAAAAAACAAAGGACACTGAGTGATATTTCTAAATGATCACCGACCAGCCTGGTGAAGAAGATCCCGTTTACATGCTGCACTGTACCTGATCCTCGTCGTCACAGAGCTCGTCTTTAGAGAAAGGCCGGACTCGGAGGTAAACTCTCATCGTCTGTGGCTCAGCGTCACTCAGCAGCTCAGTCTGTCAACAAAAAGGAAAAGCCAGAGCAGAAACTAACCTCGGTGCCAATGAGCTGACTTTATACTCTTTGTTTCAAGTAAAAATTAACTTGTACGTGAAGGTAAGCAGTGCTAATATTACAACACTGTTTTGAAACAAAAGCAAATCAATAATAAACACCTGCGTGACTGAAGTCAGGTCCATGTCAACAGGTGTCATACAGATGCTGTCTTCAGTGGTTAGATCAATGACGTTACTCATCTTAAGGCTGGTCAGCTCCAAAATAAAGTCCTATTCCTCCACCTTGTTCACTTGTTGGACATGAAATTGTCACTATTTATGAGTACAAATGCTGATTCAACAGCTCCTTTGGTCCTAAAATGACTTATTTCAGCTTCACAAGGTCTGCTGGTTTTCCTCTACTGAAAGCCAAAGAGCAGCTTCTAATCAGTTTTAATTGGAAGCAGATGTGAGCTGAGGCGCGTCATCAGGCTCGACCAATCAGCTTGGAGGATTCCTCTCCAGATCTGCTGCTTTCATCTTATATGCATCACATTAGAAATAGGAGTTATAAGGAATGATAGAGTCTCTTATTGTGCAAGAACTTCTTCAGCCGCTTTAGTTTAAAACAAGAATTTAACGATGAGCTCCACTAAAAAAAGTTTTTGTGTATGACTGGACTTAATATTCATCTGGGAGACCTCTTTAAACAAATACCCAAATGGAACTGATGGAATTATGTTAACTGAGCTGTGATTTGTCTTGTATGAAACATTTCCCATTTGTACCACCAAAGTACCAGTTGAGGTGGTTTGGACATCTGATTCGGATGCCTCCAGGGAGGCTTCCTCTGGAGGTCTTCCGAACACGTCCACTTGGGAGGAGACCCTGGGGCAGACCTAGAACCCGCTGGAGGTATTATATTTCTCGGCTGGCCTGGGAAGGAAAGCCTGGAATGACCCTCTCCGCCTGTTGCCCCAGATAAGCGAAAGAAAATAGATGGATGGATGGATGGATGGATGGATGACCAATGTACCTGAAAACAAAGCTGATATTTGCAGACTACTTGTTTTTTCAATGATGACTTTTCTGACTGAAATAATGCCAGCTAGTTAAGAGGAATGTTCTTCAAGGTCTGTTGCATTAAAAATATAAATTTCAGGAGGAGGCATTCATATGAGGCTGGATGACAAAATCATTGTAAGAGTGAAGGTTTTGAGTCCACAGGTGAAAGACACGGTACCAGTTACGTGACAAGTGTCACAGAGCAGATTCCTCCATACCTTTTTTATCTGTCTACACTTCGTGGATGAGACAGAAAAAACATTCAGTATGAAACATGTCGTCTCTACTTGGGGTAAAAAGAGCCTTGGAAGATTTAAAGAGAGTGAATCCTCTGGACAGATATCCCGTCCATTTTGTTATGAGAGATATTTAGGGTTTTCCCAGTAACACATGTACACAATTGCAATAATCCTGGTTGAGTTAAATTTTTACTAGTTTTAAAAATGTGATTTAGCAAAAATCTGCTCACATGCCACCTCAACTGTGTTGTACCTGCCTGGATGGAGCATTTAGGACAATGAATTTCTATGAATTATTTTAGGTGAGGCCACATCCTGGGTCAATTTATCAACATATTTCATTTCACCGTGACTAGGTGCGGTAAAAATGTAAATATTAAAATATCTCTTGTATGTGGAGCCTCCATTATTCTCTAGTGTTGGTAAGAAATGTGGCCACTTAAAAACAAACCGTTTGCAATCACCAATGTTGTGTAAAAAAACATTTAAAAAAAAAATTTGCACTTCTTGAAATGATCTATAACAGATTCACTCAGGATCAATAAAACATCCATCTATGTGTCGCTACAGTTCGATCTGAGTAGAATTTAAAGCTGAAATAATTATTTAATTCATAAATAAGCAGTCACTCAAGTCTGCTCCAGTTGCCATGGCGATAAACCACATCCACAAGAATTAACCAGCCCACCACCACATCCAGCGTTAGGTCGCTTCTGTGAGTTGATAGGAGTTTAAAAATGACAACTGCTCAGGTTGATGCATTTCTAGATGTTCATTCCAACCTCCTTTGAGGCCGTTTCATCTTTTGCTCCACACAGAATCCAAACAACACCACATCAGTTTCCTTATTTTGATTTTCTTTATTGAAACATCTGCGTCGTTTATGCGTCTGCGATGGTAACCTCGACCTCTACACCGGGTTCGATGCTGATGGAGGTGATCTGCTTCACAATCTCGGACGGACTGTGCAGATCGATCAGCCGCTTGTGGATCCTCATCTGGAAGCGATCCCAGGTTTTGGATCCCTCACCACAGGGAGTCTTTCTGGTGGTGATACGCAGAGTCTGGAGGGAGGCAGAGAAAACCAGTTTTAGCTTTAGAGTGATGCACAAAAATCCACAATAATCAGAGCAGTCGTTTTTTGTCTCATTTATGATGTGCAGTACACAGGTCTGGTCTGGGCATGTTTATCGAGTACCAACAGGAAGTCCATGTCTTATAACAATAAGGTGCTAAGCATGTGATCAATGATCTTACGTACCTTGGTTGGCATGCGGACGGGTCCCTTCACCTTCAGGTTCTTCTCCTTAGCCCCACGGATCAGGTCAGCGCAGACTGATGATCACAAAAAGAAAAAAACTTACCACCACAAGCAACCAGCAATCTCTTCACAATACTTTCAAACCCATGGCTCAGAATAGCGTATAACGTCGTCAGGGTTTATCACGGTTAAATTTTCATCCTCATAGCTCAGGTCCACATTAAACTCTCAATAGTAATTAGCGCTGATAGTTACCCTTCTCCAGAGATTTGACGTTGCGGCTGGTGAGGGTGATACGGATGCGGTGGATGGCAACCTCCGTCTCAACAGGTGCCTTGCCGGTGTCCTTAAAAGCCTGTAATTGTAGAAGAAACATCGAACCTTTAAATGACGTAGCATTCAGATGTTTCTTACAGTCATAGGGAGCATCATATATCTCATAGAAATGTGCACATGGGTGGAAAAAGTAAAAAAATTACAGGTGTGATTAGTTTCCCCCTTCCTTTGCATCACGTAGTTATTTTACACTTATTCATTATTTATAAAAACATAGACTCCATAAACACAGATTGTTGAATCCTACTTAACTAAACTCCAGCTGGGAAGCTAAAGAAAGCACTTTTACCAGGTTCATGCCATAACTATTCCTCCTGTTTACAAGATAAGGCAGGAGCCCCTGAACGCAACACCAGTTGATCTGCACGTGGATGACCTGACAACTATTTTTTTTGTCGTGTGAATGTAAAATTGTTTTATGTTCTTTGGTTCAGTGTCATTATTGTAAAATCCCACCAGTTGATTTCCCCCAACAGCTACAAACCACCACCTGAACCCTCCAGACAAAGCTCTGATTTTATTTAAACCGGTCTTCTTGTGCACTGATAAGTATGCCGAATTGTAATTTATGCTCTAAATTAATGAAGGAGTCTTTATCTCATGAGCGGATGCGTTTATTAAAGTGGCAATACCAACATCATTATTAAAAAGTACGTTTAGTGAACTGCTTATGGCGGGATGACTACCACTAGCATCGTTAGCTGTCGGCGCTAGCAACCGTACTCTGAATTTCTAAGAGCAAATTAAGCTATAAAATACACTAATTTCAAGCAGAAACGGGTTGTGTTGTGTCAGTTAAGAGCATAATTAAACATCACGTACCATTTTGATTATTCCTGACCGACTTATTCGGAAGAAATTCAAGCGAACAGCGGTGAGCCAGGAACTGTCGCCACCAACGTGGTTAGCTCTTGGGGAAAAGAACGAGCAGAGGCCCGCTTCCTCTTTATCTACGCTTCATCCGGGTCCCCGCTGCGTCTTCTTCTTCTGTGGTGTTTTTACGCTGATGCATAACAGCGACACCTGGTGGCCACGCAGGACTCTGAGCTGCAGTTGGCTGCTGTCACCGCTGGAGAGCAGCAGGAGATATGATGTTTAAAGGTTTATTCCACCTAAATGTTACTGACGAACCATTTATGCTTTTAGAAGTTTATTATTTCACCTAAAATACTACTTTGTGTCTAAGTGCTTATAGTTTGAAAGTACTCTCTAACAAATGAGTTATGATTTCAAAGGTTTATTCCGATGTTGTGTCCCAGCACTAATCGTTTTAAAGTTAAAACAGTCCAAACAGTACTTTATAACAAACCAGATTGATTTTTCTACGCTTTGGACCCATTTTTATTTATACAGCTGTTACATGTACATATGCTCCTGCTGCTATTTGCAATATTCACACTACCAGTTGTTTATACGTATATATGGTGATGCTGAGATGGTGAGTTCGTGGTGTAGAAGTTCACCGCTGACACCACTGGAGGACAGTAAACACGGATTTTAATTACATCTGCCGATGATCAGCTGAAACGTGTCAAGGTAGATATAATAATATCATACGGCCAGTGAGCACTTCCTGTTATAACACAAAAATAAGAGCCTAAAAGCTTGTAAAGGAAGATGAACAAAACATCAATGCTAGGCATGTGTTTATTGCAAGGATGGTTTGTTAGAATGCAACTGGCAGATATAAGACAACAAACTTCAAACGTTTCAAACGTGTTCAACTATTGTTTGCAGGTGTCTGATCATGTATTTTGAATACATTCACACAAGTGCTTAAGTTTAAATTTTAAGGCACTTGAACTTTACTTTTCCATTTTATGCAACTTTATTCTTCCATTCCACTACATCTCAGAGAAAAACCTCAAACTTTCAACTTCACTACATTTGTTTGACAGTCTTAGTTAATTCATACTTTGCAATGTTTCACACCCTTCCTGACCAGTGAACACCACATATCTGCAAATTTTGTGGTCAACTGTTTGTGGTCGACTGAAGGATGACGTGGCCCTTTTATGGGTTGAGAGAATTCTCTATGATCAGCTAGAAAATGCACAAATATCCCAAAGCTGACACAGGGCTGGTTTCAGAGCTCATGATAGCCGACTTTATAGGGAAGCTTACTTCTCAAAAGGCAGCAACACGACAAACATATGGAGATTTTATGGAATATGATGCATTACCACAAAACTGAACAGCATGTAAAGTAGTTCAAAAGGACTCAGACTCAAATGGTGCATCAGTAATATTCATCAAAACTCCTCATTTATTACAGTAAAACACAGACTTGGACCATTTTAGACTGTTTATTTTGCTAACAATGGCAGACACGCAGCAATCCAAATAATACAATTAGGATTATGTCCTAAATTTTAAACTTGCAAGCGGTGTCTTTTTTTCTGACGTCATGTTAATTAAATGTTGTGCAAGTTTTACATAACACATTAAACCGATGATATTGTTTTTACACTTAACTGACTATTGCTGCTTGTTGAAGTTGTATTGTCTACTTTACGTACATCTGCTTTTATCTGGATAAAGCAATTAGAAATTATACTCTCTTGCAATAATCCTTATGTCTAAACACAGTTTTTTGTCCAACTCTGTGCCCTGGATTTTAACCAATCCAGTTTTTTGAAACAACTTCAAAGAGCCAAATCAGCTCTTCAATGCCGTTTTCCACTTGTAAAAAGTGTTTTACAGTCTCTACATTGTGACTGACATTAGGGTTTAAAGATGACAGGCCATAGGATTATTTAAAGAAAAAAAAGACCAAAAAAATCACCTGTGAATCACATTAATTGCAGGGAAGAAACTTCAGTGTTGGCAAATATTTGGGCTTTTATATTGAAGAGTAAAAGCGGAAGTCACGCGTTGTGTTGTATGTACTTGACAGTCACCATCAGATTCCCAAACAAGTAACGGAACCGGGCAGTGCCGGCTGGACGCCAGAAAGTTGTTTTGTCCTAAAGAAAGGCGTAAATGTTGAGACAGGAGGTGATATAGTGACTGTAGTGTTTGAGAAGAAGAAGATTAGCTCCTCACCTGAAGACTAAACTTTATTTCACGGTGCGTCATGACTCCCAGACGCAGGCCGCCGCCGAGTGACAGAGGAAAACTTTTCACGGTCGTCCCCGAAACAAACCGGAGCTGAATGGAGACGGAACAACACCCCGAATGAAGACATGAATTTCGGCGTCCCCGCGAATTCGCTGCTTCTGCTCCGTGCCTGCGATGAGGGGGACTACGAGACGGCCCGGGGCATCCTGGAGCCCGGAGCCCCCAAAGAGTCCGGGCGGCAGAGCAGGCTGCGGTCCGAGGCGGGTTCCGAGTGCACCGCCGCGGACATGTTGTCTCTGGTGCCGGTGGACTGCACGGACGAGGAGGGCAACACCGCCCTGCAGTTCGCCTCGGCCAGCGGCCACGAGAACCTGGTCCGGTTCCTGCTGCGGAAGGGGGCCTCGGTGGACAGCCGCAACAACTACGGCTGGACCCCGCTGATGCAGGCTGCTAGGTGGGGCTCAGCGCCGCGTCCTCACAGTGTGAAGGGTCACATCAAGCTGGAAGTGTGGCTAATTTATCCATCATTAAGTGTCTTTACTGGCGACGAACTTTAAAACTGAGGGCAGGAATTGTATTTTATTTGTATTTTTTGTTCTTTTAAATGTTGAATTTGCGTGTGGACATTTTAATTCCACATTTCACAGATTCTTGCATGGACTTTGGTGGAGCCGCATGTATGTGTTGACACTCTGTCAGTGGCGCATGTATGTGAAGAGTTCATTTGCCAAAACTGATGACTCCAACTTTTTTTTGTTGTTGTTTGCTTGAGATAACATCAGTTAGACTGAAGTTGAGTGGATTTGATTCAGTAGAAATGACAAAAAGAGAGATAACTTATGTTTGATTGATGTTGTCTCAGGTAGATGATGGGTTTCTGAAGGTCTGTGAAGATGGAGTTATCTGTTTTTGCAAAAGAACTCTTCACATTTACACTTTTAGATACTTTACTGGAGTATTTCCATTTTTAATGCCCCTCTACTGCATTTCAGAGGTGGAATATTGCCTTCTCCATTCCCCTATCAGTTTATCTGACAGCTTCAGTTACTTTAAAGTTGAATATTTCTCACAGTTATGATAATATAATGCAGCACATTGGGACTAAACCAGTGGCTTCCAACCTTTTTGGCTTCTGTGTGTAGTCGAGGTCACATTTCAGATGTCTGAGTTGTTCACAGCTCCACTAAATACTGATTTTTCCCTTTAAATTTCCCACATGGTTTCATTTCAGTAAATGTTCCAACGATACAAGATCTCACCGAAAATCCGGGATTAGAGTAAAAGTCCAAAAACAGATTTGTGTACTAGAACTTTTTCTTCCTTCCTCCTGCATGAATCATATTGATCTGCTGTCCCTGTGTATGAAACAGGATAGAACGTAGTTTAAACAGTAACAGGCTGCTGAGACATGGATGCCTCTCTGTTAATAATCTATGTCATATATAATCATATACCAGTCAGAGGGGCCAAAGCGGTGCTTTAACTTTGATGCTTTACATTTTGCAGCAAGCAGTCATGTACTTTTATTTTAGTGGTGCTTTTAAATGTGTCATCAAGCATCAGAGTACTTCTTCCTTCACTGAATTCTGCTCATTTTTATCACATCTGTCAGTTCTCAGTTTACCTTCCATGACAGATCATATAAATATTAGATAAAAATTTACTGATCTCCAGGGAAGCATTCATGTAACTGTATTTTTCACAGTAGTGCTTGATGTCCAAGTGCACAATCAGGGTGTCCCAGTGAAGAACTTGGTTGTGATCATGCCTTCTTAACCCTCTGACAGTTGATTCAGCGCTTCTTTAACAACCAGATGAGCCGTCTCCAGCAGGGGTAGATACATATTTAAGTTCTCCATCCTTTATCATTCTGTGTCTTAACTCTCCATTCAGGTTTGGTCACCTGACCGTCGCCCACATCCTCTTGGAGAACGGGGCAGAGATCAACGGACGGAACCGGCTGGGCGCCAGCGTCCTCACCATGGCGGCTCGTGGTGGACACACTCACGTCGTCAAGCTCCTCCTGGAGAGCAGCGCCTACGTCGATGACTACGATCATCTGGCCGTCGCTGCCGAGGCAGTCTCCAACGGCAACAACAACAACAGCTGCAGGTTTGTTCTTTTTCAGAAACACTGAACCTTTTGAATGAGTCTTTAGTCTGACATTGAAACTGTTTTTTTTCCCCCCACAGTGCAGCTGGTTTTGGACCGGGTGAAGGCTGTCCAGGAGGAGCAGGAGGCAGAGAATTCATGGACATCACAGCGCTGATGGTGGCGTCTCAGCACGGCCATGAGGCCGCTGTGCGCCTGCTGCTGGAGTGGGGCTCAGACGTGAACTTTTCCCAGAAGACCACTGGCTGGGGACCTCTGATGGTAGCCACCCTGAGTGGGAAGGTAATAGATGGATGATAGATGAAAGCAAAAAATGGATGGATTTTGGATGTTATATGGTTGACATTTGGGTATGGCATCGTAAAGCATGGACTGCGGTGGTTAGCACCGTTGCCTCGCAGCAGGAAGGTTGCCGGTTTGTGTCCCGGTGAGGACACCTGGGATCTTTCTGTGTGGAGTCTCCATGTTCTCCCCGTGCAGCGTGGGTTCTCTCCGGGTTCTCAGGCTTCCTCCCACAGTCCAGAAACATGCTGAGGTTAATTGGTGATTGTAAATTGTCTGTAGGTGTGAATGTGAGTGTGCTTGGTTGTCTGGATGGATGGATGGATGGATGGATGGATGGATGGATGGATGGCGGTAGAGACAGATGGGTGACAACTTAAGGGAAAAGCCTGAATAAATGAGTCGATAAACATAGCTCTACTGCATGGTACATTAATGCAATTAGCCCCTAGTCAGACTCAGTTGTACAGAGCAGTTGATTTTGTATGAAGATGGTGATAGGTAAAAGATCTAAGTGACTTTAAAAGTGGATTTATAGTTAAGGCACAGATGGCAGGA